AGTGGAAACCATGAGTCGAAAGGTCAAACTGCCCATGCTTTTGATTAAAAGTTGACACTACGTTGTCCTTAAAAAATGCACAGCAAGGGGTGCCATGGTGGAAAAGGCTGAAATAATTCAGGCCTGCTGCCTACCTACAAAACTTAGTTAAGTTTTAGTCTTTCCTCATTTTCCATAATATTGCAAAATTTCTAATTTGCCCAAAATTTTAGGGACAGTGTCTTTCCCTTATATTTAGCTTGCTGCTAGACAGGGGCGGATCTAGGATTGAATTTTTGGGTGGGCACTGATTATGCAGGTAGTGTAATTAGTGGGTGTGGCCAATTGTGGTTTACATTACAAGTTGTAGATTTTACATTAAAAAGTAAATTTAAATTACTGCACAAAACTTTTGGGTGGGCCTGGCCCACCCCTAGATCTGCCATAGCTGCTAGAAAGCTCAAAATTTTGTCCTATTTTAAAGCTACCATTTTAGTTGCTATAACCACTCCCACTTTACTTGACGAGTCTGAGTGGGGCATCATAATTGTTATTTCTTCAATACAAAAGATGCGTTTATTCAAAAATTTGATGGATTAAACTATTATGGATTTACCAAAAATCTTTTTGTGATTTAATTTTTGTAAATCAAAGTGTTCTGCCATCTTGTACCATATTATGTAGATTTTTATGGATTTTAATTTTGTAAGTCTCAGCAAGACCATGAGTTATACATGTAAGTCCTTCAAAAGTTTTAGGCCAAAGGTACATAGATGCATAGATGGCACGTGGGTGAAAGCAATATTAGGAATGACCTTGAATGATAGTGAATCAATGATAAATTAGTGGATAACTTTTAAGGGGCTGGGCGATTTGACCAGAGCATTTTTTGCATACTCATGCAGTGACTATTTTGCCACACCATTTTTATAGACCAGTTGGCGCTAAGTATATTCATAGAATTTTAATGCCATAAATATAGTAAAATTTTTCTGCCACCATTTTGAAGTCCTAATTTCAATGGTTGTCTATGGAGTGATCGTGAAAAGAGCTTATTCTCCAAAAACTGCTGTATTTATTTGCAACAGCAATCTTGCTACTGCATAATCATCATCCAGTGTCTAGAGTTGGCTCATGGACTTAAGTGCCACTAGTACCTATAGAAGCAAAGATATTACTCTCTCCCATTCCACTCTTAGTAAACTAAGACTCCAAAATGGCAGTAGGAAAATTTTACTTTGTTTACGGTATCATGATGAACATACTTTAAATTCTATGAATACACTTAACGCCAACTGGTCTATAGAAATATGGCAAATTGCCAAAAATAGCCTTCCAACGTTTGTACTAATCAAGTTTAAAGCAAGTTTTGACCAAATTTCAATTAAAATTGCCTAAGATAGTCGTTGTCATTGATACGTATATATAGTCAGTTATTTAGAATCCCCCTTGTTTGTGTTACTTTTTTATGAATTAGCCTAGACAACAGAGTGAATCCTACTCATTCTGAAAAAAATTAAATTTTTGTAATAAATTGATGGTCTGAGTTATTACCGCGCTGAATAATGCAGCCTTTTTTATCCTGCTGCTTAATGCTCTATTTATTGTAAGGCTTATTTTATTTCCAGAATCAGTACCTGCTATAATAACAGCTCAATTTGTCTCACCTAATGCTATCATGCTCACTTGGAGTGGAGATACTTGTATACAATCGTACAGATTTTCTGTTTATGCTACAGTTTTTGATGTTTCAGTATTTACAGATATGGTTAGTGGAACACAAGACATTTATACTCCAGATCAACGATCTTTTTCTGGTGACTATATCTTTGAATTAACCAGTATTGATTATACTGGAAATGATGCTGGTTCTACAAATGCAACTTTTCCTTGGAAAAGTATGTAACAGTATAATGATATATTTTTGTTATTTATTAATGTATATTTTATTTAGGGCCTAACTATTCAGTTGCTGTAGATATTAACAACAGAATTGCCAACTTTGCATTTGAGGTAAAATATGACATTACTTACTTTTATGAGACTTTTTTGAGTCTGATGTAATTTTATTAGAACAATGCTGATGATGAACGACCTCCGATTACTGATTGTAGTATTACTTTTGATGATGTTTCAAAATTATGTGTAATGGACAATAATATTGTCTTTAACATAACGTCTGGAGTTGAGCACACTTACAGTATTAATATTTCCAATGTTGTTGGAACAGTTAATAGGAATGGCAGTAAGATGATTTATTTTATCATGCACAGTTCAATTTGGCTATCAAATTGGTTATTAAGTCACTTATACCAATAGTATATAATATAAGGAGAGAGAGAAAATCCAACTATCCCTACCGCCCCATGTGTGTAGATTTTTAAGAAGTCATGCACGCTCCGCATACTTTAGTAGTTTTCAATCAATGTTTATACAGTTCTAATAACTGAAGTATACTGAGAACTGAATGAATGTGAATTGACAGTTTGACAAACTTATAGCAGGCTTTGATAGGGCCTTGCTACTATCTTAATTTAAAGGTGGGTTCTCAGCATTGCTTTTTGTGCACTTGTGTTGTGACCAGAAGTGCTGTTGTAGAAACAAATGGTACGTAGCATGTGTCAATGTGTCATGATAGAAATATTTTCTAATTTGACTGTTTTGACGTGTTCATGCAGGCTCCCATTAGTTTTTATGGCACTTTTGGTTGCAACGCAAGCCTACAAAAAGCAATAATGTCACCCACCTTAAGGTATTATGTAATCTTGATTATACTTTTATAATGTAATGTAGCCTACTAGAGTATAATGAAATAATTACAATAATTACAGCTCCCAACCTCCTGATATATGTAGCTGTATGCTTGATGTATCATTAATGTTGGCTGTTTGAGCTGTTTTCAAATGTACATTGTAGAAGTTGTATGACCAAACCACACAGTATGGCTAATAATCCCATAGAACCTTTACCTCCTATACTTATAT